CACAACGAAGCAATCTCTAACAACAAAGCTATCTCATTCACAGTTAGCCCAAAAAGCTTGATAAAGAGAGATTTCTAAAACTCCTTATCCAGAAGCAAACTTCTCCTCCTTCCAAAGAGCTATAGTGTAAACACTTGAAGGTTTCCTTGCCTCAAGTACCACACCACGTTGAAGGATATAACTTTTGATCAAACTTCTTGATTAAAAGGGGGTAGATCAACTTTCTCACAAGTTGATCTTGTAGGTCCTATTGTTCGGACCTTGCAGTTGTTGAAGAAGCGTGACCTTCGAAGGAACAACAAAGCCAGCACGAGTGCAGTAGCAACTTTGGCCTTGCGAAGATATACCGTGCAGAAATTCACACAAGTGTAATTGTTGGTTCATTATTCAACAACCAACTACATAGTGGATTTTGAGGACATAGAAGGATTACCCCACCTTCGAACCTCGTTAAAATTTGCGTGTCTCTTTCTTTTATCTTTACTCTTACTTGTAATTATATTAACTGTGAAAACTAACCCATCCATATTGATTACTGCTCATACTACCCACCAAATTCTGCACACAATCTAAAGTTCCCAAGAACTCTAGATTTACACTATTTTCACGTTTTCAAAAGAAACGAAAAAGTTTTAAACTTGTAACAAACACAACACCATTTGCTGGAATGAGGGCCACCCAAGCTTCAGTATAAAGAGAGCATACAATGCTTTGAGAGAGAAAAAACCCCCTGACAGGTCCTGGAATTCTTATCAATATCCTAAAGTATCTCTCTTCTTATGGAAACTTTATAAAAACATCCTTCCTCTCCCTAATACACTAACACGTTTTGGCCAGAGCTTGCCCTCTATTTGTTTTCTTTGCAGGGATAATCAAGAAGATGCAAATCATATGATGAAACAATGCAGTTACAGCAACCAAATATTGACCTACTTTGAACAGATTTTCAACATCCCTCACAACAAAACACATGGAATACGTGTCTACCTTATGATGTGGTGGAGAAACACAGACATACCTGGAACTTGCAGAGTGTTCAAACAATGTGCCCCAGGGATCATCACATATGAAATCTGGAAAGAAAGAAATCGAAGAGTATACCAACAAGAATCAAAAATAGCATCACAGCTTATTCAAATGATCTGGAGAAAACTAATTGAATGAATACTCGGAAAAGGAAAAGGAAGGCTCCCAAATCAAATTGAATGCCCAATCAGATTACTTCCCAGGATCAACACGGACGTGTCAGTTGCCGGAGATTCAATGGTTGGCTCCGCTATTCTACAAACAAAGGAAGGAGAATTTCTTGGAGCAATGAGCACCCGTTTGCAAACGCAGCACTCCTCTGAAGATGGTGAGATGGAAGCAGCTATCACGGGCCTTAATTGGGCCATCTCAATCCAACATGGACCCATTGACTTGCACATGGTCTCCAAAAACGCAATCTGGAGAATCAATGACAGAAATGACCTTCAAGAAACAAGCAGAGCAATCCAACAAATTCTCGAGCAAATCCAAGGCAATGCTAGACACATCTATCGAGAAGCAAATACTGCAGCCCATAACCTTGCCAAATTTGCCCAAAGAAATAATTATTTTCAATCATACACTTGTTTCAAATTTCTCCCAAAAACTGTTAAAGGAGCAATTCTTTGTGATCAAACTTGTACCATTCTTCGTTTTTAATTAATAAAATTTCCTTTAAATATATATATATATATATATATATATATATATATATATATATATATATATATATATATATAGGTTTTGGTTCTGGTGAGAAAGAGATCTTACGAAAGAAATAAGAATGAATAATAACCTTCGGATCTATGTCTTCATTCGTCAAATGCTAAAGGGCTTAAATGTATTTTTGCCCATCCACTATCTCCAATCGGATCATCATATCCGGATTATTTGCGGTCAAATCAACGACGCTCTCTCTCTCTCCTTCTAGGAATTGCAATCTATTCCTTCCGTATGTTCTCTTCCGATCTTTCTCCTACGGAAATTCCTTCAGATCTTTTTTGAACTCATATTCATCGGTCAATCATCATCTATATGGATTAAGGTTTGTTTTATGAGATTCTTCATCATCACGATATTAATCGTCCTCTTCGTATTCATTGGAGTTTTATTCCTTTCAAGTTATATCAATATTCTCTTAATCTTGAATTGTATATTATCTTGATGTTTCATATTCATTCACAATTCAGATCCTACCTGCATGACATGTTGCTTTAATTTATTGTTGAAATTTTGTTAGTTTTTTTGCTTCACTTCTTAGAATGCAGAATCCAGGCAAAAACATGCATAACAGAGATTTCAAAATGCACCGTGAGATGTTGCATTGTTATCTAAGTTTAATGAATCTGTAGCAGTTTCTCTTATTGCAAGGTATATGGAAAAAGGATCAGTTTCCCATTGTTTTAGCAGGTGGTCTCTAGACCTTAATTAACACCTCTTTTTGAGTCCCACTTTGTGTTGGTCGAGTTTGGTGTAATGTCAGATTTTAACATTTTATTCTATTACACATAGCATTATGTATCACGGGTATTGCACACCTCTCTTCTATCTAATGCATTTAGGTGATATGTCTGTAAATTATTATTTTCTTTCATCTTCAATTATTCCTTATATTTATTCTATAATTTTTAATCCCCGTGGCATATTGTTTTAGTGCATTATATAAGATATTCAATGTTTTATAAAGATTTTGCATTACATATATAAATATATGATTTAAAAATCATTTCCAATTAGCTCAAGAGTAATTTACCTAAATAGGACTAAAACATAATGATTTTCCCAATATAGGACCATATGTTTTTATTTCTCAATGTAGGACCTTTGGTCATTATCATAAAGTCATTATTCAACTAAATATCCATCATTACTAGACATTATTCCTCCACAAGGTCATTATTAAGTCCTATTTAGGAAATAAAAAAGTTTAAGTCCTATATTAGGAAAGTCATTATGTTTTAGTCCTATTTAGTGCAAATTTTACTTAGCTCAAATGGTAGAGCGGTATGCATTTGCATACAGATATAGGTTCGAATCCCTCATTGGCACTTTTTAATTTGCTATTGAAATTAAAGAAATATATTTTACTAGTCAGACATCAAACAAATATGTCTCTATGTGGTTAAATGAACGATTTTTTTTTTTGAAAATTTACTTTTTTAGAGGTTATTTCTACATTTTAAAGATTTACTTTTCATTATGGTGCATCAGTTCTGAACAGTATTTAACATGTTCAAGATTATGTGCAATACGTATTATAAATGATGTCAATATTTTAACAATTTTTTCTTTACATTATTGGCCTAGGATATCACACAAATCTATCACTAAAGTGCATGTAAAGTTTCTTCTATTGTCTTTTTATCTCTTGTTATGGTATACAAAGTATTTCTTAGTGTAATCATTCAAAATCTAGACTTTGGAATGATAATATTCACATAGTGCACTGCAATAATTTATTATTCGCACAGTTCAGTATACACATGTCCATTGTATGATGCATTTACAACAAGTGTAGATGCATCAATGACTTGTCTATTCCGGATTCCTTGCGATTCAATTTTTGTTGTTTTTCATATTTACGTTTTCCATTTGAAAGGGGTGATTATCGATTGCCCTGTGCTCGACGTTCGTCGGAGAAGGAAGATGCTGCTATGGGTTTAACATGTGTTTGAGATCACATGATCAACTATATTTTTGTTCCTTTCTTTTGTTCGTAAGCAGATGAACAAGAACAGGTCTGCACTGCTCCATCGACGGAACAGAGCAGCAATCCGGCGGCATCAATCGGCGTCCCAGCAACTTCACGATTTCCTCACGGTGCCCAGGAAGCAACTAGATGGCCTGAACACAGTGGCTGCGACAAGGTCCAGCGACGAACGTTACAGCGGCCACCTTCCTCCGCGGTCATCCGACCCGCGACGATTTCCGGCGAGATACATCCGCCGCGTCAATCCCAGCAGCGGCTAAACAAACGGAAGTCAAGAGGAGGGCAAAGTGCAGTGGCAGCGACGACCCACCAGCGGCAGCAACTCCCCCAACATGGCAGCAGCCTCCCCGACGGTGGAAGACCCGACGACGTCTCAACTACTCGGCAGCGACAGCGGCGTTCGAACCCAGAGCAGAAGAACGGAGCAGTGTTCGGACAGAGGCAAGGATGAAACAGAAAAACCCAGTTTCCAATTCTTAACCCGATTCCAATTCCAATTCAATTCAACATAATCGTTCACCCAATTTCAACAATCATATTTACAAATTCAACTTCAATTGAATAAAGATATATTAACGAATCCTAATCTATGAATTAATTTTAACGGGAGATAAATCACTCACCTCAATCGATTGGGGAAGGAAATTGGTTTAGAACTCCGGCGAACACTCCGGCGAAGTCTTTAGCGGGCTTGGCCTTCCTTCTCTGGTAGGTTTGTCGCGCAGGGGACCAAGAAATGGTGCGGCTAGTATAAGCGGAGTAATTGGGTGAGGGAGTTTGGGCGTTTCTCCGTTTTGGGATGCGAATGGACGTAGGAATAAATAAATAATGTTATTATTATTTAATATTATAAAATCTTTATATTTATTTATTGAACTGTTATGCTTATTTCTCTCATCATGCTTTATACGTATATCTAAATTTAATAAACTATATATCATATCGTTGGTCGCCATTTTACAAGATCTACCTGAAAACCTAATTTTTAATTAAAATGGTCAACTTTACAAATAATTCATATTTTGAAGTTAATAAATAATATATTTATTTTTATTAAACTAACGGCTAACTACTAAGCCGGTTTTCGGGGCGTTACAAATACATTACTACTCCATATAGTATCTAACACCTTAATTGCAACCCATCACTCCCTATATATTTTGGTTTATTCCTTTTCCGTTTGAGGTTAGATTTTATTGATTATTTTTCTATTTTATTAATTTTGTATGATTTTAGTTCTTTTTCACATCTTCGTTATTTTTTATATCTATTTTTTATTCAAGGCTGATATTCACAAAAAAAGAAAAAGAAATGATGGAGGAAGAAAGTCATTTTAAATATTTGAGGAAAATATTCAGAATAATTTAAAACAAAAATTCATCAAAAATAATCTCAACTTTCATTTTGTTGCGTAAAAAAGGTCATTTCCGTTAACCTGTCGTTCGCAGCTTAATGGCGAGCCAAAACTCACAAATTTCAGTTAAGTTGAGATTATTATATATGCATCACATTGAAAGGTGTAATTATTTTTAAAAGACCGAATGAAGTTGTAATTAATTTCTTAAAAAGAAAAAGGAGATAAAACTATTTTCTTTTCATTTTTGTTTAAATCTTGAATATAAATCTATTTTTGACTTTTTTGGATTAAAATTAGTAAAGTTTGACCTTGAATTAAATAAAAGTGATACTCATTAGATATTCATATAAAAATAGTTTAATTAGATTTTTTATATGACTGATTACACTGATATATTACACTGTCATCATCTTTCCATCATACACTCAACACTCACTCTTACACCATACTCTCATTGTAGTCCTATTTTGGTCTTAAAAGACTTAGGACTCGTATTTTGATATTTTTATAGTTTTTTACTCGTATTCAGAGAGATTTCTTTCCGTTCACAAATAAACTTCGTGTTGTGCGTTACGATGTTTGACTGAAGTTATTTTCAAATCATTTTATATGAAAAAAGGTGTAAAATTTAAAAATAAAATTACATATTAAAAAACTATATCAAAAGATCTACAAAACTAGAGGTGACATGACTATATTATTTTATCAAATGGGTGACGAAATTAGGTCAACAAAATGAATAAAATTTGACCATGTGAAGAGTGAATGAGAAGTTTATTCTTTAATTATTAGTCAAAAGAGGAATTAGTTATGTTAGGAGAGTGGATAGCTTGTTCAAAGGTAGGGAAAGAAGAGATGGGGCTTTTGTTACGGATCGGAGAATGGGTGCATGTGGATGTGCAAAGAAACAGGGCACTGCCTCTAACTGCTGCTTTACCCCAAAAACGTGTCTTGTTTCACTCTATCCCTCTCACACTCTCACCGGCCGGCCCCATTCCTATCCTCCCCCCCACATCTCCCTCTTTATCCCATATTTGCTAAATAATTATTACCTTAGTACATTTTTCAATTTCTCTCATCACAATTAAACTCCTCCATTTCTGCACTAGCTAGTGATATCATCTTTCATGTAGCTAGCTAATTAGAGTGAATTATATTGAAGCAGCAGGAGAAGCTAAGGGATAATGGAAGCTAATTCTTTACATTGCATGGATTTTTCAAGTAAGTGTCGTTTTTTTTTTCGTTCTAGCTCCAAATTAAGTACTCCGTTCGGGTACTGCATGCTTAGGGATGCCCGGCAGTCAAATTGATCCTTGGCATAAATAATACGGAAAAGTTGGTGTTTTCGTTTCTATGAAACTCAGAACTCGCTGAGTCGGTCTAGTAAAATAGGTACAAATCATGCATGCATGTGCATGAAGTATAATGTAGTATGTGTATAAAACTTTATACTCCCTCCGTTTGAAAAAACACTTCCCATTTGATTTGGGGGCAAAAATAAGGAAGTGTTAAATTATAGTTGATTTCCAATTTTGCCCCTGATATGATGGGTAAAAGTAAGATGTGATGGATAGATTATTAGAGAAAAAGTATGATGTGATAGGTAGGTTATGAAAAAGTAAGGGTAAAAGTGGTTTTTAATAGAAAGGGGAAGTGTTTTGTTGGAAGTGGAAAAAATGAAAGAGGAAGTGTTTTTGAGAACGGAGGGAGTACGAGGTTTTAACTGCAAACTTTAGGTTTTTTTTTGTTTTGGGATGAGAGAGTTCTTTAAAAAGCATTCGTGGCTTCACTCTTTTTTCGGTTCAATAGTTTTTCCTTTGAGTTTCTCCCATGCTTGTTTACTTTTTCTTGTTTTTGATTGAATTTATAAATCACATATATAATGATGAACATATATATTGTCTCATGGGTCTTGTTTGTTAGTGTACGACGTTAATCTTTGGTGACATTATTGGGTAGGTGATGTGAGCAGTTAAACTAATCGATCGAGGCAATACGGGCAAGGTGATCGATCTAGCTTGCAGCCCCAAATCCAGGTATGTAACTACTCCCTCCCTTTCTTAAAACCCTTCCTCTTTCATTTTTTTTGTTTTTTCATAAAACACTTCCCTTTTCTATTAAAAAACCATTTTTACCCATACTTTTTCATACCCTACCTATCACATCATACTTTTTCACTAACAACTAAATTATCGCATCTTACTTTTATCCATCACATCAAGGGCAAAATTGGAAAGTCAACTAAAATTACATTTTCCTTATTTTTCCCCAAAGTCAAAAAATGAACCGTTTTAAGAAATGGAGGGAGTATTAAAAAATACTCGATTGAATCTTCATATCCAAGATATCAATGAGTTAAAGGGCGTATATGGTCAAGTCTTCAATTTTGAAAATTCCACGAATAGTCATTTAAGTTACGTTAGTGTTACACAGTTGGTCATTACGTTAACATTGTCAATAGTCTCTGCACTTTTTCTTCTATAATAAAAACATACGAAAAATCCTCTTTTTTAAATTAGAAATCACCTTATATAGGACTAAAACATAGAAAAAATTACCAAAATAGAATTTTCATATTTTTATTCTCGAAATAGGACTTCGTATTGTAGTAATGTGGTTGTAATGTGGCAGTGTATATGTACACTTTAGTAAAGTTTTTGTTAATGTACATGACCATTATGGTAATATAAATGCATTTTAACTCCTATTTTGAGAATAAAAACATGAAAGTCCTATTTTGGAAGCTCAATTAAAACATGGAAATCCTATTTTACTCCTATTTTAGTCTTTTTCTCTTTTTACATACAATTGAGTCGTATTTCGTGTAGATCAATTTTAATTGCAATTATAAGTAAAAAATTAATACTTGACTGCAAAAAGTTAAAGCTTTATAAGTATGAGTATTTGTTTCAAAATTAGACTAATAAAAGCAAAAGTAATTTTCTATTATTAAAAGAATCGGGCTAATAAAAGTAACTAATAAAATTAACTTATTATTATTCTAGAACTGGACTTGTATTAAATATCGTTCAATTATATTTAAAAATATTTTGGAACTCTCGTCCTTCTAAGGCCGACGTGGAAATGTTAGAAGAAAGAGTTCCTTACATGTATTTATAAAGGAAAATGGACAAAATTTATTGACTAATAGAAGGATCAATCGGCAATGTTAACGTGACTTAGCTTCACTAAAACAGAAAAGACTTATTAAATTGGTTATTTTTGACCTTTTGCATCAGTTCCTATCTGGTGCAAAAAATAACGATGTATTAATACAAATACTTTTTCGCATCGATTGTGCCCAGAATTGGTGCCACGGCCTTCTCAAGCATTTAGAGCATGGGGAAGACCTTTTGCATTGAGTTTCTCTTAACACATTTGTCACTATGATTATTTAAATTCGTTTATGTTTCTTCAAACATTTTTTTATTTTAAAACTCCTACTCCGTGTCATTCATTCAAAATCTCAAAACTCATACTTCAGTTTATCTCCAAAACATACCAAACCGACTGTCATTTTTCTCAATTTTTTTAAATACTCCTTGCAACTGATGAAGTAATACGATGATATGTATGGTGATTAAGATATTTAATTAATTATTAGTATTTATAATTAAATACTATTTAATTAGTAGGGTTTAGGGTTTAGTATGAGCCCGAGCCCATTAGGTCAATTAGCGTATCGCATTACTCTCTATATATTGTAATCCTTCCCCGTTTATGCAATCAATCAATAATCAAGAATTCTATCAATCTCTCGTCTCTCTGTTCTTGGAGCTCGGAAACGCTCGAAGTTTTCCTTCTCTCTTTGCCTCCCCTTTCTTGGAGCCTGAAGAACGCTCGAAGTTCTTCCCTATCCGGTACGATATTCGTATCAATTGGTGCTCTCATTGATTTGAACACCTCACAAAAAATCAAAAAAAAAAACACAATCGACGAAGCATTGAGCTGCGCCGCCGTAAAAGTTGTTTCAACTAATCAAAAGGAATTAGCCACTTCGCCACAAACCAATAGTTGCCGCTGGAATTTTATTGGAAGTTGCCACTGGAATTTTAATAGTTGCAACTTGTAGTTGCCGCTGGAATTTTGTGGGGATGTAAAGGTTGGTTTTGTTTTGCTACTGCAATATTTTTATAGTTGCTGTATCACTGGATTTGAAGGCAAAGGTTAATTGGAAGTTCATATGCGCCATATATTCTTTTAAGAATCACTATGACGCAAGCTTCTACACGTACTTCTGATATGGGCATGGCGAAGATGATTTGTGCATTGGACAAACTTTTTAGTTTGTTAGAAAAAGTTCTTTATGGAGAAATTGAGCATGATGAAGGAGTGTGTATGATTTTTGATCACGTGTATGAGATCAGTATGAAGCTCAGATCGATCCCTACTTTTGAAGGTCAAATTGATTATGGTGCGCTTGACGTGGAATTTTTTTGCTCGGTACAAGATTTGGTCCGTGGACCTCCAGTTGTGTCAAGTCAAATCCCTTTCGAGTTACAAATTTTCAGAACACATATTATGGGTTTGCTAAGGAAACTGCCAGGCACTCCACTTCCTCCACCAGTGTTGCCCCCAAGATGTGATGGAAGCAAACCCGTGCAGTGGTTAGCTACGGTATGTGAGTATTTCCAGTTTTATGAAGTCCCTTTAGTTGATCGTTTGAACCGTGTGACATCAATGTTAGAGGGCTCTGCCTTGGCTTGGTTTAATTGGCGTATGCATGGCAGCTTAATTGATGGTTGGGAGGATTTTGTTGAAAAGTTCAAGATTCGATTTGCTCCATTACATGGTTTGGAGTATATTTCTTTTGAGAAGACGTCAGAGAAGTCTAGAGATACATTTGCCCACATGGTGGAAAACACCAACACACCCCCCGCCCCGATTGTGGAGGACACAAATGAACTAAAGGAATCAAGCGAGGAATCTTTCATTAAAGAGGACAATGATAGCGGGTCTGACGTCATTGACAATGATGGTGGTGTTATTGATGGAGATGATGGTGCTACTATTACAAGTGATAAGCTATCCTACAAGCCAGATTCTACACCTCATGAATTACATGTGCCACTAAATGCCCTAATGGGGGTAGAAATTGCAAAGTATGACGTTCTAGAATGTGTTGACAAGGTGGCTAGTGAAAATTGTAACCAAGCGGCCCAGTTAATTTCTTTGGATACCATCAAGTTGTTTGATCTTGTCAAGTCTGAGCACCTGGTCTCGAAGAAAATGATTCGACGAGAGTTTGGTCTTCACTTTTATTTATGCCTATATACTTCACCCGAGAAGCCTCTTGAAGATTGGTCAGCAAATGGATGTCTCTTCTGGTTCATCATGTTCTCACATATCCAAAAGCATGAGTGGGATCCTCCACCTTAAGGACAAGGTGGTTTTTAACGGGGTAAACTGTGCACTTAACTCTAAACATGAATCTAATGCCTAAAAAGATATAGTCGTAAAGAGTACTTTTTTACTAAAAAAAACTGGTCAATTTTTATGAATTTTGCATTCAAAAGTCAAAACAAAAAAGAAAAGTTACATGGGGTAGAAAGTACATTAAGTACTCCGTCGTATTTACCTTTCTTTGAGTTACCAATTACGGAGTAGATTATGGTACATTTATATCCATTATTACATGAAGTCACATAGTTATGTTTTTATTTCTAGAGAATTTGATGTAGGTTTTTATTCTATATCTTTTTTCATTTAACATTACAGTTTTCACCGACTTTGACGTATGACTCTAAAAATCAATATCTTTATTTATATATAAATATACTATAAATGTGGAATTTTTCAAAACTTCATTTTGAAACAAATATGTTTATATTAAATTTATATTTTTGTTCAATGTATTTTTTGGAATTTGTAATTAAAATTTTGCCATCTATACATTATTTAAAAAGACATGAATTTTTTCCCGCTCATTCATGACACTCATATATGGAAAGTGTTGACAACATAAATGGTAGTTTAATTATTTTACCTTAATGTTTTCCTTCCATTTTAAGTATGTTTTCATTTTTATTTTTATTTAAATGTTACATCATTTAAGCATTTAAATTAAATTAAATAGTAGTGAACCATTGGGGAATTGAAGTATGAAAATAAAATACATTGCCATTTAAATATTAAAATAAAATTTAAAAATTACAAATTAATAAAGTATGGGCAGGATTAAAATGATTTATTTCAAACAAACTACAAATTAATTATTTATCATTAAAAAATATTATAATTTACAAGCACAAATGCGTAAAAATGGTAAGTTTTCTAAAATAGATTAGAAAATAAATATGATACGGTAAGTAGATGATAACATTTAAATAAAAGAATAAAATAAAAAACTACAAATTAATATTAATACTATAATTTAAAAGAATGGAAACATTTTAAAAATGACAAATGTTCTAATTAGAAAATAAATAGATATGGTATGGTAAGCAATTAGCACCATTTAAAAACGAAAATAAAATAAATGGTAAGTTTTCTAAAATAAATTAGGTCAGTGTTTCTAAAATAAAAGAGAAAATAAAATACTCTCTCCGTCCCCAATTTGATTACAAATTGCGGGTTACGGAGTAAAATTTCTTACTTTTTGAAATCATTTTATTTACAAATTGATATATCAATAATATATAAAAATTACATATTAAATAACTACGTCAAAAGTTATTCAAAACAAGAAGTGATAAGAATATTTTATTTTATCAAATACTTAATGAAATTGTGTAAATAAACAAAAGTTAACGAGAGGAGAGAAAAAATTGTAATCTATTTAGGGACAGAGAGAATACATATAAAAATGATAAGTGTTCTAAAATAAATTAGAAAATAATCTGGTTTGGTAAGTAATTAGTACGATTTAAATACGAAAATAAAATAAAAAACTGCAAAATTAATATTAATACTATACTTTAAAAACATGATTTTTTTAAAGGTAAGTTTTCAAATTAGAGAATTAGAAAATAAATACGGAATAGTTTGTCACCACTATAAGCAAATGGTACCATGTAAACACAAAATTAAATAAATGGTAAGTGTTCTAAAATAAATTAGGTAAGTGTTCTAAATAAATTAGAAAATAAAATAATTATTAAAACGATAAATATTCTAAAATATATTAGAAAATAAATACGGTACGGTAAGTAAATGATACCATTTAAATACAAAAATAAAATAGAAAACTACAAAATAATACTATCAATTAATACTACAAAATAAATAAATTAAGCAAATGGTACCATTTAAATGCAAAAATTAAAAAATTACTCCCTCCGTCCTATAATGATCTTCCCAGAGCACTATTCCAACTTCACGGGAATTTATATTTATTTGTGTTTTTTCATGACATATATGATAAAATAAAATATTCTTGTCACCACTTGTTTTGTTGAACTTTTGATGTAGTTTTTAAATATGTATGTTTTATTTTTTATTTCTATACCAATATTTAAATAAAATAGATTGAAAAACCTTGGGATTTTTCTTCGTTTTGTGAACCGAGAAGATCATTATAAGACGGAGGGAGTATAAATTAATACTATTAATACTATAAGCATGGAAACATGTAACAATGGTATAAGCATTTTAAAATAAATACTATTAATACTATAATTTACAAGTATGGATACATGTAAAAATGGTAAGTGATCTAAAATAAAATAGAACATAAATACCATAGGGTAAGTTAATGGTACCACTTAAATACGAAAATAAAATTAAAAAATACAAATTCCAAAATAAATACATTAATATGTTGAATTATTACTTAGATAAGTCAAATTAATGAATTATTATAAGAACAATATCTGAAACATATTAAATTATTATTACAGAAACTGGTATTTAGTCATGAGAAAGTGTATGTTACAGTTTAAAGAGTAATAAATCGCAATGGCTTGAAGTTTCTAATATACAACGAAGTGAATGCTCACACAAATTATACATACGAGTGATGTAGTTTATAAAGAAGTCTTTCGAAATTTGTAAATCATTTTACTTTTGTACTTTAAAATAATGAAATCTCTATATTCCATTATTTACCAATTTATATTCCTAAAAATGATCTTAAGTTAGTACCATAACTATGACCCGTGCAACGCACGGGTGTGATACTAGTATTGACCAAAAATCAAAATAGAAAGATGTACTATATTTTATAAACGTCAACATTCTATTTCAAATATAGATCACAATTCTTCATTTAATAAATGCTGCTAAAAGAAAGCCAAATGAACTTGTTGCACACCAACTCTCACACGACTTTAATTTAAAGTCTCGATGTTAAGGTTAAAAGAAAAAATTTTACAAAGAATTCTTGTTGAGAAATGTCTATGAGCAGCTCACACACACGTATATTTGTATAATTATTGTTTAATACTCTCTATGTTCTCCAAAAATTATTCTTATTTTAACTCATAAAAAAATAAGAAATGTATATTTGTAATTGACTTTCCAATCTTAGTCTTGATGTGATGAGTGAAAATAAGATGTGATATGTAAATTATTTGTAAAAAATATGATGTGATAGGTAACGAAGAATTAATATGGATCAAACTAATTTTTTATAAAAAAAATGAAAGGATTTTGGTGAAAGCGAAAAATGTTTTAGTTAACTGACAGAATGTTAAGGATATGTTTGTTTTAACTTTATTCTCTATTTATTCACACTCAAGATTTCGGACTTAGAGTTGATCTCTAGACTTCATTTACTAAATTTCAGTTTGCAGTATTCAACTTTTAGTTAAAATCAGTTTTTCAATATCGAGATTCTAATTATCAAATTCTAAAGAATGAACTTTATTCTCAAGGACTCCTTCAGACTTGGCCGAAATTTCAAAAGGAGAATTGTGAAGTTAATCCAAGTGGGATAATTGTTCTGACATCATTCTAATTGGTTATTTACGGAACTTCTTTTGTAAAATTGGTTGTTCTTTTTCCCTCCTAAATATCCCACGACAATTTCACTGCCACCCCCCACCTAGCCCTTCATAGGCGATTCAGGGTGGGGTGGATCCATCATTTTTACGAATAGAACACCTTAAATGCAATTACTCCGCATTATAGAATAGTGTTATATATAATGATGTCATATAGAGATATGGGCCTTGTTTGGGAAGAACGATTTCAATTAGTGTTAGCGTTTTGGATAAAATATTAACGGTGTAGATTAATTTAGAAAATGCTAACACTAGAGGCTATTGTCAGATGGCATTTTCAAAGCGCTAACCCTATATCTAATGGTGATGCCAAACGGGGCCATGAAGATCATGTAACTTTAGTCCTTCGGTTTTCAAAACTCACCAAACTTTAATTACTAGATTCAAATTTGGTCGTTCGAGCTCCATCGGAGACAGAGGCATTGGCTCTTTGTGCGTCATTAGGTTGAAAGATCCCCTAGAGAAGGCGGAAGCATTGACTCTTTGTGCAAAATTATGTTAAAAAATATAGTAAAATTTACACTAAATAATACTCCCTCCGTCCGGAAATATTCTTCCCGTGTTGACTTGGCACACTTATTAAGGAATAGTAAAAAAATGCAAAATTTTAAAAAATGCACATACTATAAACTTTTAAATCTCCTTTTATTAATAAAAAAGTACTAAAAAAGTATATTTGTGATAAAATAGAAGGTATTATTGATATTTATCCTTAAAAAGTATACTAAAAAAGGGAATGAGAAGAATATTTCCGGACGAACCAAAAAGGAAAGTGGGAAGAATATTTCCGGACGGAGGGAGTACTAAAACATATATTATTTCCAATATAGTACTTACATTTTGTGCATAATTAAGTTATAATTAAGTTGATATTGTAAGAGAATCAATAAAATTTAAAAAAATCATACGTACTAAAATAAAGGTTGCTGTTATGAATTTTGTTGCAAAACTTCAAACTCCATAACTTTGGCGTAGAAGTTGGGGTGATTTCCCTGCATGTGTAAGTTCCTTGTTTTGTATTCCATTATATGTAACTTTATTATACACTTTCCAAAATAAAGCATAGCGGATTAGCGTACTCCGTTTGGCCTGCAGAATTTACCAGAAACGGAGTAGGCTACTCCGTTCCACTCATTTAAATACCCAAACGAAGTAGCCAACTCCGTTCCAATTATTTAATTAGGAAACGGAGTAGCCAACTTCATTGTTTTTTTTTTAATTTTTTTTAAAAATGAAGTATTTACTTTATTTCCTATATTTAAAAAAACATAAAAAATTATAAAAATCAACAAATTATTGAAATATAATGAAACAAAGAATCTACTAACAATAAAATTCATAGTTAAAATAAATATTTATTGACTTTAAATAATGCACCATACACCGAATTAAAAATAAGAAGTAAATTACAACAAATTTATTGATAGAGTACATAAAATTTATCCATAAAATTAAAGATACAAAACACATGCCATCACTAATTTATTTGTGAAAATCATAAAACATAAACTTGGATATTTGAACTATTGTTCATTGCGACGTCGTCGTGGTCGGTAGTCCATGTTATTCGGGTAGCGAGTTCTTGTTGGTC